TAGAGGATGAAGGGCTGTCGGACTGCCATCTTCTTGAGGGTGAAGGGCTGACAGGACTGCCATCTTTCTTGAGGTGAATGAGGCTGGATATCCGAATCTAACATGCGCATCTTCTTGAGGTGAAGGGTGTCAGGACAGCCATCCTTCTTGAGGTGAAGGCTGTCAGGACTGCCACTTCTTGGAGGTGACGGGCTGTCAGGACTGCCATCTTCTTGAGGTGAAGGGCTGTCAGGACTGCCATCTTCTTGAGGTGAAGGGCTGTCAGGACTGCCATCTTCTTGAGGTGAAGGGCTGTCAGGACTGCCATCTTCTTGAGGTGAAGGGCTGTCAGGACTGCCATCTTCTTGAGGTGAAGGGCTGTCAGGACTGCCATCTTCTTGAGGTGAAGGGCTGTCCAGACTACATCATCTTGAGGTAAGGGCTGTCAGTGACGCCATCTTCCTTGAGGTGAAGGGCTGTCATGGAACTGCCATCTCTTGGAGGTGAAGGGCTGTCAGGACACCATCTTCTTGAAGGTGAAGGCTGTCAGGACTGCCTCTTCTTGAGTGAAGGCTGCCAGAATGCCATCTCTTGAGGTGAAGGTGCTGGGTCAGGACTGCCATCTTCTTGAGGTGAAGGACTGTCAGGACTGCCATCTTCTTGAGGTGAAGGGCTGTCAGGACTACCATCTTCTTGAGGTGAAGGGCTGTCAGGACTGCCATCTTCTTGAGGTGAAGGACTGTCAGGACTGCCATCTTCTTGAGGAAAGGACTGTCAGGACTGCCATCTTCTTGAGGTGAAGGGCTGTCAGGAACTGCCATCTTCTGAGGTGAAGGGCTGTCCCAGGACCTGCCATCTCTGAAGGTTGAAGGTCTGTCAGGACTGCCTATCCTCTTGAGGTGAAGGGCTGTCAGACTGCCATCTTCTTGAGGTGAAGGCTGTCAGGACTGCCAATCTTCTTGAGGTGAAGGCTGTCAGGGCTGCCCATCTTCTTTGAGGTAAGGGCTGGTCAGGAACTGCCATCTTCTTGAGGTGAAGGGCAGTCAGGACTGCCATCTTCTCAGTAAGGGCTAGGTCAGGACTGCCATTTTCTTGAGGTGAAGGGCTGTCAGGACTACCATCTTCTTGAGGTGAAGGGCTGTCAGGACTGCATCTTCTTTCTTCTTGAGGTTAGGGCTGTCAGGACTGCCATCTTCTTGAGTTGAATGCTGTCGGACTGCCATCTTCTTGAGGTGAAGGACCTGTCAGGACTGTGTGCCATCTTCTAGTGGTGAAGGCTGTCAGAGACTGCCATCTTCTTGAGGTGAAGGCTGTCGGGACGCCATCTTCTTGAGGTGAAGGCTGATCATGGACTGCCCGCTTCTTGAGAGGTGAAGGAGACTGTCAGGCGCCATCCTTCTGTATTTTTTGGGGGGGGGGAGGTGAGGGCTGTCAGGACTGCCATCATTCTGAGGGAAGTGCTGTCAGGACTGCCCTCTCATGAGGTGAAGGACTGTCCAGGACTGCCTTCCTTCTTGAGGTGAAGGGCTGTCAGGACTGCCATCTTCTTGAGGTGAAGGGCTGTCAGGACTGCCATCTTCTTGAGGTGAAGGGCTGTCAGGACTTCCATCTTCTGAGGTAAAGGGCTGTCAGACTGCCAATCTTCTTGAGGTGAAGGGCTGGTCCAGGACTGCCTTCTTCATGAGGTGAAGGGCTGTCAGACTTGCCTTCATTCTTGAGGTGAAGGGCTGTCAACTGGCCATCTCTTGAGGTGAAGGGCTGTCAGGACGCCATTCTTCTTAAATGAGGTGAAGGTCTCAAACCTGCCATCTTCTTGATGAGAAGGCTGTCAGGACTACCATCTTCTTGAGGTAAGTCTGGTCGGAACTGCCATCTTCTTGTAGGTGAAGGGCTGTCAGGACTAGCCATCTATCTTCCTTGAGGTGAAGGCTGTCAGGACTGCCATCTTCTTGAGGTTGAAGGGCTGTACAGGCTGCCATCTTCTTGAGTGAAGGGCGTCAGGACAGCCAATCTTCTTGAGGTGAAGGGGCTTCAGGACTGCCATGCTTCTTGAGGTGTTAGGGCTGTCATAACTGCCATCTTCTTGAGTGAAGGGCTGTCAGACTGCCAGCTTCTTGAGGTGAGGGGCTGTCATGACTGCCATCTTCTTGAGGTGAAGGGCTGTCAGGACTGCCATCTTCTGAGGTGAAGGGCTGCAGACTGACCCCCCTCCCCCCCCCATCTCTTCAGGTAAGGGCTGTCAGAAGGCCATCTTCTTGAGGTGAAGGACTGTCAGGACTACCATCTTCTTGAGGTGAAGGACTGTCAGGACTGCCATCTTCTTGAGGTGAAGGGCTGTCAGGACTACCATCTTCTTGAGGTGAAGGGCTGTCAGACTACCCAAGACTCTCTTGAGGTGAAGGGCTTTTCAGGTACTGCCAACTTTGAGGTGAAGGCATTCAGACTGCCATCTTCTTGAGGTGAAGGGCGTCAGACTGTGCCATCTTCTGAGGTGAAGGGCAGTCAGGACTGCCATCTTCTTGAGGTAAGGGCTGTCAGGACTGCCATCTTCTTGAGGTGGAAGGCTGTCAGACTGCCATCTTCTTGAGTGAAGGGCTGTCAGGACTGCCATCCTTCTTGAGGTGAAGAGCTGTCAGACTACCATCTTCATGAGGTGAAGGGCTGCAGACTGCCATCCTTCTTGAGGTGAGGGCTGTCAGGACTGCCAGCTTCTTGAGGTGAAGGGCTTCAGACTGGCCATCTTCTTGAGGTGAAGGGCTGCAGGACTGCCATCTTCTTGAGGTGAAGTCTGGCAGGACTGCCATCTAATGAGGTGAAGTGCTGTCATGACTGCCCATCTTCTGAGGTGAGGGCGTCAGGACTGCCATCCTTCTTGAGTGAAGGCTGTCAGGACTGCCAATCTTTTGAGGTGAAAGGCTGGTCAGGACGCCATCTTCTTGAGGTGAAGGCTGTCAAGGACTGCCATCTTCTTGAGGTGAATGCTGTCCGGACTGCCATCATACTTGAGGTGAAGGGCTGTCAGGACTGCCTTCTTCCTTGAGGGGAAGGGCTGCAGACTGCCATCATCTTGAGGTTGAAGGCTTGTCTGGACTACCATCTTCTTGAGGTGAAGGGCTGTCAGGACTGCCATCTTCTTGAGGTGAAGGACTGTCAGGGACTGCCATCTTCTTGAGGTAAGGGCTGCTCAGGACTGGCCGATCTCTTGAGGTGAAGGACTGTCCAGGACTGCCATCTTCTTGAGTGCAGGGCCTGTCAGACTGCCATCTTCTTGAGGGGAAGGGCTTTTCAGAACTGCATCTCTTGAGGTGAAGGGCGGTCAGGACAGCCATCTACATGAGGTGAAGGCTTCAGGACTGCCATCTTCTTGAGTGTGAGGGCTGTCAGGACTGCCATCTTCTAAGAGGTATGAAGGCTGACAGGGAACTGCCATCTCTTGAGGTGAAGGACTGTCAGGACTGCCATCTTCTTGAGGTGAAGGACTGTCAGGACTGCCATCTTCTTGAGGTGAAGGGCTGTCAGGACTGCCATCTTCTTGAGGTGAAGGGCTGTCAGGACTGCCATCTTCTTGAGGTGAAGGGCTGTCAGGACTGCCATCTACTTGAGGATGACGGGAAGTCAGGACTGCCATACCCCTTTTTTTTTACTTGAGGTAAAGTACGCAGGACTGCCAACCTCTTGAGGTGAAGGCTGTCAGGACTGCCTCTCTGCGGTAAAGGACTGTCAGGACTGCCATCTTTCTTAGAGGTAAGGGCAGTCCAAGGACGCCATCGTTCTTGAGGTGAAGGGCTGTCAGGACTGCCATCTTCTTGAGGTGAAGGGCTGCAGCCAACCTTCACTATAATCACAATCAAAATCTAGTCCTAGTTCTTCATGAAAAATTTTGGCTTGTTCCTTCACCAGATCACCAGACAGCTTGATGTACCTTCACTTACACGTAGCTTATACTATTTCATCAGAACTTGATCTAGTTCTGAACTTTATCCTTCCTTCATTATTTTCCTTGTTACACATCTGTTTCTTTGAATCACTGTTAGCAAAGAAACTGAGTAATTTTTCTGTTTTTTGTCATAAACTGCGGAAGAGCCAGAACTGTATCACATAAGCTTCTCACAGACACACAATTGTCGAGTTTTTTAAGTTCAACCTTATCTTTTATGGGCAATGTATGGTATTTGTGCTTTACACAACAAGAAGCATTTCCTTTATTCACTGGAACCATGGCTGGGGTTAAAAGTGAGCAGGTTATAACAATAAATGGAGAAAAACAAATTTGAATGGCTTGCCTATGTTTGCAAGTGATGCCAAAAGTATTATGAAGCAAGTAGCCCCACCAGATATTAAAAAAAAAAAAAAGGGCAAGTAGGGTAGGTGCAACGACCCGGGAAATTTGAAATTACGCTAGACAAAATTAGTGCCGGATGAGTGATGGAACCAGATTAGTGATCGCCAGATAAGTGATGGTCGACGTGTACAATAAAAGAAACAGCAGCAGGCCCTCCACTATCATTGCAGCTAACTAAATTTTTACAGCAGTTTCTCCTTATGTTAGTCTGCAAGTGTAAAGTTTCACTTCTTTGAAAATATCAAACAGAAGCACTATGCCCGATGCCCAAACCCCAAACATTCAAAACCTTACCCATTCCTTCCAACCCCTTCTCCCTCCACCCCCGATTTATACAGAAATAATATATTTTTTTAACAGCAGCCATCTCCCACCGAGGAAAGGTGACCTGAAAAAGAAGAAACAAAGTTTTTCTTCTTGTTATATTTACTAATTTATACAGGAGAAGGGGTTACATTTGCCCTTTACTTCCAGCATTTATAAGTTTGCCTCTTACAACACACATGGCTTATGGATTAAGGATTCATCACTTCCTCATGGAGAGAGAGTTTATACATGTATGCTTTATTTTAATAAAGTGAAACATTAAAAAACTGAAACATTAAAAGCATAATTTAATGTGAAAGCAGTTCATGAAACAAGCATTTCAACACTGTCTTAACTACAGTACTATACTTGCCTTGTAAACGAGAAGTAATAGAATTGAAAACATCATCAACCACCTTCTCTAAATGCAAAAGAACATCAACACAGTTGTTTACTGTTGATGCTCTGCTCTGGTCTGCTGGTACTAGAGGAATCTCATGAGGATGCAGCACCATTATTAATAACTAACACCCAAAACCCTGAAAGGAAATATTTTTATTATATTTTTTACCTTACATTCTAGAAACACAGTTTCTTAATAAGCCTACCTTATATTACTAGATACTAAACACATGGTATAACATTAGATATTTTTAATTATTAAATGTTGACCTTAATTAAGGGGCACATCAGTTCCCCTGTCTTCTAATATGTTATTTTTCCCCTATAATCTACCTTGTCCACAATTACTATCGCATTTACTTTGTCTGCTTTCGTAAGGTGAAGTCCAGGATCTTTCCTTAATTCATGGTATAACTTTACAAATCTTTGAGGACAATTGTGTTGCACAGATCTGAGCTAAGGACCCCAATGGAAATAAGTCACTTTGTTTGACTCTTTTGGGTTATCCTAGGTTCTCTACACATATGCTGCTATGTATGGTAACTGTATTTATGTACTGTATACCTAAATAACTTACTTACTTAGGTTTGTTCAGACCTGTGCAGCACAGGAGACAGGGAAACTCATGCACCTCTTAAGGCCAGGTTTTTAACTTTCTTACTAAAATAACTTGTTACAATAGCACATGCAATCAAAGGTACAAGAAATGCACTGCAGACTAATAGCTTTTTTTTTCTTTTCATATGTTGAATAAATTAAACACATTGCAACACTTGGGTATCTTTATTGAGGAAACGTTTTGCCACACATTGGCTTCATCAGTCTGACACAGCAGCATCTTGGGATCTAAATACAGGGAATTCTTCACTTGCCTAACCCTTGGACACGACCTACTTCCACACTGGACAAATGTGATACCACCTACGACTGCTTCACCTCACCTGTCTACAGTATATTAAGCCACTTCTTTTTCGCACATATGCTGTATTCTTTTACAAGAATGATGGACCTGACCAACATCGACTCAAAGCTGAGGGACTGATTACCACAAACTCCCCTGTTCTACACCATTCTCCTTTGTATGGACTGATGAAGCCACTGTGTGGCGAAACGTTTCCTCAATAAAGATACCCAAGAGTTGCACATGTGTCTAATTTATCAACTTGTCGGTTCTCTGGACCATTCATCTACAGCTTTCTATTGTACCTAACAATATTTTATTATATGTGAACTACATTACCTGTAAACTGCAGACAAGAAATACAAACGAACTGATTTGATTTGAATCTATTGATTACATGCAATGAAAATTGATGGAGTTACAAAGACAACCAATCAAAGCAGATTTTGTCTCACCAACCCCAACACGTAAATCATTATATATGAGCAGGACTTCCCTCACACCAAAAAAAAATGTATCCAGATGGCCCCACCTCCCTTGCACTCCACTAATTTATTCAAATTCAATGTTTTCTATTTATTTTATGCAGTATACAGATAATGCAGTTTAGCATGTAATAAAGTTATTGTTTTATATTAAGCACTAAAGAAAGCCACTGGCAAAGGGAAATACCAAGGAACCTCAATGGAAAATACAAGGACCCTCAATGGACAAACAAGAACACATGAAAATGACATGAACCTCAATGGAAATACAAGAACCTCAATGGAAATACAAGAACCTCAATGGAAATACAAGACCTCAATGGAAATACAAGAACCTCAATGGAAATACAAGAACCTCAATGGAAATACAAGAACCACAAAAAGTGAAAATACAAGGACCTCAATAGAAATACAAGAACCTCAATGGAAATACAAGGACCTCAATGGAAATACAAGAACCTCAATGGAAATACAAGGACCTCAAGGAAATACAAGGAACCCAATGGAAATAACAAGGACCTCAATGAAAAACAAAACCTCAATGGAAATACAAGAACCTCAATGAAATACAAGAACTCTATGGAAAATACAAGAACCTCAATGGAAATACAAGCATCCTCAATGGAAATAAATTACATTGACTTTTTTTATTGGGGTTATAGAGAACCATAAAGAACGAAGAACACTGCAGAAGGCCTACTGGCCCATGCGAGGGCAGGTACCAAGTCTCCTACCGCTTAAGCCTATGCACCCAAGCTCCCCTAGTCAGGATCAGGTCACCATTGACTAAGGGAGGAACACGGCAACCCGACCTGGTAGCCAAGCTATCAGGGTCCAACTCACACCCACCCACATCCACTCATGTATTTATTCCAACCTTATTTTTTAAAGCCTACACAACGTTACTGGCCTCATAACTTGTAGCTCGGAGTTTGTTCCATCTCATCCACAACTCTATTACCAAACCATACTTTCCTATATCCTTCCGAACTGAAAATTTTCCAACTTAAACCATTGCTACGAGTCCGTCTAGCTAGATATTTTTCAGCACACTATTTACATCCCTTCATTATTCCTTTCTTCCAATTTTTAACACCTCAATCATATCCCCCCTAAATTTCTATAACGACTTTTTCTAGAGAGTGCAGATTCCAGGTCCCTTATTCTACCTCATAGGGAAGGTTTCTGATTACATGGGATCAATTTGTTGATACCCATGTACATTTTCAAGAATTTATCCATTCTGTAATAACGGTGACCAAAACGTGCAGCATAATCTAAAGAGCCTAACCAAGGATGTATAGAGTTGAAGAACAACCTGAGGACTCCATTATTTATGCTTCTTGATAGAAGCCAAGGATTCTATTAGCTGTATTGCGAACAACTTATTCCACTGTTAGTCTTGGTTCGATTTCTTTTTACACTCACTTGGCGGGACGGTAGTACCTCCCGGGGTGTTGCTGTCTACCACCATTTAGTGAAGGGATTCAGGGAAACCAGTTATTTTCATATAGTTGGACTTGAGTCCTGGAAATGGGAAGTACAATGCCTGCACTTTAAAGGAGGGGTTTGGGATATTGGCAGTTTGGAGGGATATGTTGTGTATCTTTATACGTATATGCTTCTAAACTGTTGTATTCTGAGCACCTCTGCAAAAGCAGTGATAATGTGCGCGTGTGGTGAAAGTGTTGAATGATGATGAAAGTATTTTCTTTTTGGGGATTTTCTTTCTTTTTTGGGTCACCCTGCCTCGGTGGGAGACGGCCGACTTGTTGAGAGAAAAAAAAAAAATTATATATATGCTTGTACATGCATGTGTAGTGTGACCTAAGTGTAAGTAGAAGTAGCAAGATGTACCTGAAATCTTGCATGTTTATAAGACAGAAAAAAAAGACACCAGCAATCCTACCATTATGCAAAACAATTACAGATTTCCATTTTACGCTCACTTGGCAGGACAGCAGTACCTCCCTGGGTGGTTGCTGTCTACCAACCTACTACGTAGGTAGACACAGATGTCTGAGCAAATCTATTGGTTTTAATGCTTACCCAAAACATTGTGCTTAATACTGTATGGGCTTTGAAAATACATCTGTAATCTGAATAATGTATTTACTTGCAGTTAACTTGTAATCAAACCTACTGTATATACAGTGGACCCCCGCATAACGATCGACCTCCGAATGCGACCAATTATGTAAGTGTATTTATGTAAGTGCGTTTGTACGTGTATGTTTGGGGGTCTGAAATGGACTAACCTACTTCACAATATTCCTTATTGGAACAAATTCGGTCAGTACTGGCACCTGAACATACTTCTGGAGTGAAAAAATATCATTAACCGGGGGTCCACTGTATTATTTTTTTTTTTTTTTTTTTTTTTTGTAAAAAGTATTACCAACATAATTTTTATTACTCAATTTCTGAATGTCAGTTTAGTCATGTTTGTCCTCCAAATAAAACATCATTTCACATTTCAACATCTTAATTAAAGTGGGATAAAATTAAGACTCAAATACAGATACTGTACATATAATTTCTAGATACGGTATACAAAATATTTTTTTCTAAATAAAGAATACAGAAGTAACCAACTAAAAACCAACAAAACACTTTTCTGGCCCTATCAATCCAATCAAATCACTTTTCTGGCATTATCTCAACAATGCACTTTGAAACATTTGTGCACTGTATGACCTATACAAGGCTCAAAATTCTTTTGTGAATATATTATTATTTTTTAACATGCCGGCCATCTCCCCCTCAGGCAGGTGGCCCCAAAAAAAAAACACTTTCATCATCATTCACACATAATACTGTCTTTGCAGAGGCATGCAGATATGACACTTCAGATGTCACTCCAGAGAGCAAATATCCCTAATCCCTCCTTTAGTATAGTAATACAGTAATTTAAATTTTGGTCAGACTTTGTCTCTAAAATTTCTGTAACTGCCTAAGGTTTACCTGTAAATGGTTTAGAATTTCTACTCTAGGAGCCCATGCACTCTGATAAGAACCTTATCAGCCAGGTTAATACAGCTTACAGCCAGGAAGACTCACAGACATTATAACCACACTAATGACACAGCTTGCAGGAACTTCATAGGTTCCTCTTTAAAGACTTGTACGTTTCAATAATACTTCTTATATTTGCTTGTGCAGTAGAAGGTTCAAGTTGTGGGTCTCAGATGCTATCACTATTACTATTAACTTACTAATATATATGAAACACTAATCCTTTATGAATCATTCAATATAAGAGTAGTGAAGGCTCGATCCTCCATTAGCAAGAGACACACACGCTACACAACTTTACTCACCCAGTTGTCTCAATGTCATAAGAGAACCATTTCATTCTTACTTCTAATTAGGTATATCCTGCACCTTTGTATCATATCATATTATTTCACTGTCAGTTAAGGACCTGATCTATAAAGTTATGTACAATCCTTTATATATTAACCCTTAAACTGTCCAAATGTAGATTTACGTTTTTTCAACATTTGAAAGTATGGAAAAAAAACAATCTTTTTTTTTTTACATCTGAAAGCATTTAAAAAAAACTTAGCGTCTACATTTTTTTGTTGTTATATTTGAAAATAGGTAAAAAATTGTAGATCTACTTTTGGAGCACTACGCATGTGAATGTAGATCTATGTTTGGGCAGTTTAAGGGTTAAACATTTAACTGCATGAGCCCTTTAATGCTAAACAAATTAGAGGATGCTTATTTCACTCCTCTACTAATATGAAATTCAAAAGTTTAAAGTTTAGATGCAATACATAAAAAGTAAAATAGTAGATTTAAATAATTTAATAGGTATTAGCACAATTAACAATAAAGTGTGTAATAAAAGTACAAGCCTTTGTCATTCAAAGATTTTTTTTTTTTTATTATCACACTGGCCGATTCCCACCAAGGCAGGGTGGCCCGAAAAAGAAAAACTTTCACCATCATTCACTCCATCACTGTCTTGCCAGAAGGGTGCTTTACACTACAGTTTTTAAACTGCAACATTAACACCCCTCCTTCAAAGATTAACAGGTGAAAATGTACTAGCTAGTTTTGACGTTACAACCCAATAAGAGTAGTGGGTGGTGACTATAGATGCAGATAAGACAGGAAGACGGGTCAGAAACTGAAATGTTACATGTGGATAAGTGTCAATATTTTATAAAAGATTAAGTAACATTAACTTCAAACCATGGAAATGAAACGTAAAAGTAAAAAAATATACCAGTAGAAGAATTCACACGACCAACTCAATTTTGTAAAACTAAGTATAACAAGTTTAGAATTACTTGTCTTGATTAAATTAATCAACATAACTTTTCAATAAATGCAATTACTATAGTTTTTGGTAAGGCCATAGTTAAAATATAATAAGCAATATGGATGTTATATAAAGTACATGATAAAAAAAATATTGCTTTAATATCTCTATATAAAATACATGTATAACATTTTTGCCCACAAAACAAGCTAATGTGCCACATATACAAAGTTGTTTATCTAACCAAGCAAATGTAACATTAAATAATTACAACTCCAAAACTAAGTAGTGTATAGAAATAATTTGTGGCTAGTAAAAACCCTAGCATCAAAAAGACAAATTAGTAAACCCCATAAATGAACATTATATACATCACAGCATATCGGTTTTTAACTCCAGGTATAAGCATATATTTTTTGCCACTCGGGGATATAATCAAGCAATGGCTGACAAACTGTCTGAGCAAATGGTATCCTGTTTCCAATAGTGGTCAAGAAATACTTTATACGTCTGTGAGTGACTGTATGGAATGCCGGAGATCTCATAAGGTAATATATGAGGTTTATTCTTCGGTGAGCAAGTTCGGCTTTCTCGGCTGCTGTAAGCTGTGACTTGTTGTAGAGCTTCAAGCTGATGGGAAACAATAAATTTTATTACAGCATTAATCAAGAAAACACTGGAGATACTCTACATCTTACTACAGTACAAGCATACCTTACTAATGTGGCGGGTTAAGTTCCAGACCATCGCCATAAAGTGAATATTGCCTTAAAAGCAAATCACGACCCTTTTTTTTTCACTTAGTAATAATGGTTGCATCTGTGTCCTTTTGCCTGTAGGCATATAAAAGCCTAAAAACACATTTATAATATAATTTATTAAGTGCACAATAGCACTTGACCTAAAAAAAAAGATACAAAGGTAAAAATTAAAACTGCCAAAAATCATCTTAAGAGCAAGGCAGGTATCAAAAACAATAAACACGAGTATAATTGAAAGTGCCGTGTTAGTGAAGTGCTCTAAAGCAAACGCCATATTAAGGAGGTATACCTGTATTAATCAAGAAAACATTAGAAATACTGTACATCAAACAAAAACTAAAATGAAAAGAGTATGAGACTTTATACAATGCTAATTTCAGATATTGGTAATTCAATATTAAATCTATATCCTATTATAATCACAAGCGCAATTCTGGGGGACCAAAAGAAAATATTTCTACATATGTACAGTAATAAAACAAAATTCTAATGTAATTATAGGGAAAATTAATGAACACTTTCAAAAACCAAATGAGATGGAGTTCAATAAAATAAAAAGATATTGGAAATATAGAGGGACCATTAATTACAGAAATCCAAGTACCATGGCTGGAACAGTTCACAAATAACCCATAAATTCAAGATGAAAGTGGACAATGATTCAGTCCATTCTGCACTATTAACCTAAATGTTGTGGTCCTGGACACACCACAACATATACCTTACTCTTTAATTTATGGATTTGTGTAATACTTCTCACTGCATAATGCTTTGCTATAAGTAAAGCTTTACCACCAGTTGATACCATGTATTACTTTCATCATGAAAACCTTAACAACCCATTGATTATTTTCAGTGTTTCACTCATAGAATGTAAATTGACAGATAAGGTAAATGGAAAATGTTACAATATTTATAAAAAACCTAGGTAGTAGGTTGGTAGACAGCAACCACCCAGGGAGGTACTACCGTCCTGCCAAGTAAGTGTAAAACGAAAGCCTGTAATTGTTATACATGATGGTAGGATTACTGGTGTCCATTTTTCTGTCTCACAAACACACAAGGTTTCAGGTACGTCTTGCTACTTCTACTTACATTTAGGTCACACTACACATACATGTACAAGCATATGTATACACACCCCACTGGGTTTTCTTCTATTTTCTTACTAGTTCTTGTTCTTGTTTATTTCCTCTTACCTCCATGGGGAAGTAGAACAGAATTCTTCCTCCATAAGCCATGAGTGTTGTAAGATGCGACTAAAATGCCAGGAGCAAGGGGCTAGTAACCCCATCTCCTGTATATATTACTAAATGTAAAAGGAGAAACTTTCGTTTTTCCTTTTGGGCCACCCCGCCTCGGTGGGATACGGCCGGTGTGTTAAAAGAATTTTTTTTATTATCACACTGGCCGATTCCCACCAAGGCAGGGTGGCCCGAAAAAGAAAAACTTTCACCATCATTCACTCCATCACTGTCTTGCCAGAAGGGTGCTTTACACTACAGTTTTTAAACTGCAACATTAACACCCCTCCTTCAGAAAAGATTTATAAAAAAAAGACAGAGGAGTTTCTTTAGATTATTAGGCTTAGCTCAATAGCAAGTATTGTTGCTAAAACACTGGAAAAAGACCATCAAAGGAAAGTGGCTGAAACATCAGAATGAACATAAGAAAGAAGGAACACTGCAGCAGGGCTACTGGTCCATGCTAGACAATACCAACTTACACCCACTCCTCTAATACTGTACCCATCCAACCTATATTTAAAGATACCCAAAATTCTCGCCCCAATGACACTATCTGGGAGTTTGTTCCTCATCCACAATAAAAGCAACAACCCTTCAAAAATCAAGCAGTTGTCTGAGGATGAACAAGCATACTGCTGATAGGTACATATAAAGAAAAAAGCACAAGCTGCTGAAGAGGTTTTATTGAGGCAATATTTTACACTACACAGAGTAAAATAATCTCCCAATAAAAGCAAGAAATGGGCACTCTGCATTCTTTTGAACTTCAAAATGTTTTTGAAGTTCAAAAGAAATATTGAAGGAATGAAAAAGACATAATACCATTACAATAGATGACATTCCTTGTTTTAACCCTTAAACTGTCCAAATACAGATCTACGTTCACATGTGTAGTGCTCCAAAAGTAGATCTACCTTTTTTTACATATTTTCAAGTATAAAAAAGAAAAACGTAGATCAAAGTTTTTTACACGCTTTAAGAACATAAGAACATAAGAACGAAGGAACACTGCAGAAGGCCTACTGGCCCATGCGAGGCAGGTCCAAGTCTCCTACCGGCTTAAGCCAATGCACCCAGCCTAGTCAGGTCAGGTCACATTGACTTAAGGGAGGAACACGGCAACCGACCTGTTAGCACAAGCTATCAGGTCTAACTCACACCCACCCACATCTACTCATGTATTTATCCAACCTATTTTTAAAGCTACACAACGTTCTGGCCTCTATAACGGTACTTGGGAGTTTGTTCCACTCATCCAAACTCTATTACCAAACCAGTACTTTCCTATATCCTTCCTGAATCTGAATTTTTCCAACTTAAAACCATTGCTGCGAGTCCTGTCTAGGCTAGATATTTTCAGCACACTATTTACATCCCCTTTATTTATTCCTGTCTTCCATTTATACACCTCAATCATATCTCCCCTAATTCTACGTCTTTCTAGAGAGTGCAGTTTCAGGGCCCTCAGTCTATCCTCATAGGGAAGGTTTCTGATACATGGGATCATCTTTGTCATCCTCCTTTGTACATTTTCCAGAGAATTTATATCCATTCTGTAATACGGTGACCAAAACTGTGCAGCATAATCTAAATGAGGCCTAACCAAGGATGTATAGAGTTGAAGAACAACCTGAGGACTCCTATTATTTATGCTTCTTGATATGAAGCCAAGGATTCTATTAGCTTTATTGCGAACACTTATGCACTGTTGTCTTGGTTTCAGATTACTGCTAACCAGAACTCCTAAATCTTTTTCGCAATCCGTAATATTAAGATCTACATTATTTAGTTTATATGTGGCATGGTTATTGTCCTGTCCAACATTTAGAACTTTGCATTTGTCTATATTAAACTGCATCTGCCACTTCTCCGACCACTGCATCAGTCTATTCAAATCTTCCTGGAGTGCTCGAATGTCCTCGTCAGAATGAATTCGACGGCCTATTTTGGTGTCATCGGCAAACTTGCCGATGTCGCTCTTTATGCCCTCATCTATGTCGTTTATGTAGATTGTGAACAGCAGGGGGCCCAACACTGACCCCTGTGGAACACCGCTCGTGACGCTTCCCCACTCTGATTTCTCCCCATTTATGCAAACTCTCTGCTGCCTATTTGTCAACCATGCCTCTATCCAGGAAAAAATTTCTCCTCCTATTCCATGTGCTTTAATTTTCCTCAATAGTCTCTGATGTGGGACCCTGTCAAAAGCCTTACTGAAGTCCATATACACAATATCATATTCATTACCATGATCTACCTCCTCAAATACCTTAGTGAAAAAAGTTAATAAATTCGTAAGGCAGGAACGCCCCTTTGTAAAACCATGCTGAGATTCGTTGATTAATTTATGCCCTTTCAAGATGGCTACGAACTGCCTCGGCAATTATTGATTCCATAAATTTTCCCACTATGGAGCTTAGGCTTATTGGTCTATAGTTCGAAGCTAAGGACCTGTCACCTGTTTTGAAAATAGGTATCACCATTTGCCATTTTCCACTTATCTGGCACCATGCCAGTTTGTAGTGATATGTTGAAAAGATTAGCCAAAGGTGTGCTAAGCTCCTCTTTACATTCCTTTAGAACCCTTGCATACAGTTCATCAGGGCCTGGGGACTTGTTAGGTTTTAATTTATCTATTTGCCTAAGGACCATGTCACTTGTGACCCTAATAGTGCACAGTTTATTATCGTCCTGTTCTACATAATTTATCATTACTGGAATATCGCTGGTATCCTCCTGTGTAAAAACTGAGAGGAAGTATGTGTTAAAAATTCTACACATTTCCTTATCACTGTCAGTGAGCTGACCCGAGGAACTTTTGAGTGGGCCTATCTTGTCCCTGATCTTACTTCTGTATACCTGTAAGAATCCTTTTGGGTTAGTCTTCGATTCTTTTGCAACTTTAACCTCATAATCTCTTTTTGCTTTTCTAATTCCCTTTTTTATTTCTCTCTTTAACTGAATATATCGATTTCTTAATTGCGCCTCTCCTCTTTGATTTGCCTATATATGCCTCTCTTTGACCAATCAGATATTTAATCTATTGTTCATCCATTTAGGATCATTTTTTGTTTGATCTGATTTCCCCTATTTGGAACATAATTTGACTGAGCAGCTAGAACTATGCCCTGGAAAGCATCATATTGGCAACCATCACCACCTACCTGACCCTTAGTCAGGTCATTCCAGTTCAGCCCACCTAAGTAATTTTTCAGTCCTATGAAATCAGCCAAGCGAAAGTCAGGGACGGAGACTTGATTGCCTTTATTAGGGAAATTCCATGATATATTAAAACTGAGTGATTTGTGATCACTCTCCCCAAGCTCATCTTTAAACCCTCAAGATTATTAATTAGTGTTTCCCTACTGGCAAGAACCAAGTCAAGGAGGTTATTTCCCCTAGTTGGCTCTGTCACAAACTGTTTTAAAAAACAATCCTGGATCGTATCAAGAAAGTCACCCGACTCTAAATTTCCTGTCAAATTGCTCCAGTCAATCTGTCTATAGTTGAAATCTCCCATTAGCACAACATTTTCGTATGTAGATGCCTTACGAATTTCGTCCCATAGAAGTTTACTGCACTCCCTATCAAGATTTGGGGCCCTGTAAATCACACCCAAAATTAGTTTTTCTCGGCCCTCGAGAAGCTGTAACCAAACAGATTCAGTGGCTGACGCTTCTAATTTAATATCTTGTCTAACACAACAATTTAAATTGTCTCTGACATACATCGCTACTCCACCACCTTTCCTGTTGACCCTGTCAGTGTGGAATAATTTATAGCCTTGTATGTGACATTCAGAGGGCATCTCTCTATCTTTCAGATTGAGCCAGGTCTCTGTTATAGCAATAATATCTATGTTTCCTGCACTTGCAATTAATCTTAGCTCATCTATCTTATTTCTAAAAACTCCTGCTATTAGTATAGTAAACCTTAAGGGAGCTAGTCCCTTGCTGCCCTCTGCTGTCCCCCTTTGTTTGCTGGCCTGTTTCTATTGTCTTTATTTATAACTTCATGCTGAATGCCTTTTATACATTTACTGTTTCCAACCCTAGTGTTGCAACCTGCTTGTTTCCCCACACACACCCATACCTCTATCTTCCATCAGTTTAAAATCATAGGCATTTCACCAATGGCCTTCTCAATCGAGTCTGCAAGTGCTACCACCCCTGCCCCAGAGAGATGTACCCCATCCCTTGCATACATATCATGTTTGCCATAAAAGTTGTTCCAGTTGTCAATGAATGGGATTGCAAGTTCCTTGCAGTATCTGTCTAGCCAGCAATTTACACCAATTGCCCTAGACAACCATTCATTTCCTACTCCCCTTCTAGGCAAGATGCTACATATGATTGGGATCCCTCCCTTAGACTTAATGAAATCTATAGCTGACCTGTACTTATCTAGCAGCTCTTCTCTCCTACCCTTCCCAATATCATTTCCACCAGCACTGAGACAGATAATGGGCTTGTTCCCATTACCTGACATGATATTATCCAGCCTGTTGACAATGTCCCCAACACCAGCTCCAGGGAAGCACACTCTATCTCTCATCTTCTTATTCCTATTACAAAAAGCACGGTCAATATATCTTACCTGAGAGTCACCAACCACAAGAATGCGCTTACCTTCATTAGCAGGGGCAGTAGTACCCTTACCTTCACTGGCCACTGAAGTACATTCATCATGGAAAGAAAAGAGAAACGATTTCCTACCTTCAGATCTTCACTCTTAACTTTCCTTACTCTGATGCGCCTCCCATTACTGTGAACAACTCGCCACTTGTAGCAGGTGCTGGGCTGCACCTCACTGCTGGTAGCCGTTGCTACCTCCCCAACTACAGCCTCCTCACAGCGAGAGACAGACTGCACCTCACTGCTAGAAGTCTCATTCCCCACAACTCCAGCCACCTCACACTCTCTCCCAGACCCATTGAGGTGGACCTTCAGCCTCCTAATCTCCTCCTGGAGAAGCAAGACCTCCTCCTTCAACTCTCCAACCTCAGTTTTTAAAACACTGCAGAAGCAAGCCATGCTTTGTAACCGTCCACGCTAATCCCCAAAGCAGCTCAGGGTCTGTGACCTCACGTGACGACTGACCACTGACCACTGACGACTGACCACTAATGTAAAAGAAAAAAAAAAAGATCTACGTTTTTACATACTTTCAAATGTTGAAAAAATGTAGATCTACGTTTGGACAGTTTAACCCGTAAACGGTCGAAACGTATACACGTATATACGTTTTTACCGCTAGTGCCCCAAACATATATAGTATACGTTTTATGTGTCATACATTTAACACTGCCATGATAAGCCTGAGTTGCCTAGACATGAGAGAATGGGTGTGAGCACTCACTGTGAGCCATATTAAAATAATTGAGGATGCCTGGGTATCATATGCTCTTTTTTCCTATTAAAAAACAACAATTTTTTTTTCTCAAAAAAGTTGGGGCAGTATGGTAGTGAACGTATATATACGTTTGGACCGTTTACGGGTTAAGGGTTAAAGAAAATGCAAACCCTTATACAAGGAATACTATTTGTATGGGGCAGTCACTAGTAGAATACCAGAAAACTTAAGAACTTGCTCCAGTAATGTTCCTAATTTGTGTAGACTTGACACAGGGGATGGAAAACTATAATATGTACACTGCTGATACAAGCATTCAGATTATAAAAGAAAATTAAATACTAATTTTTTTTTTTACCATTCTGGCCGTCTCCTACCGAGGTGGAGGGTGACCAGGCAAAGAAACATTTTCACCGTCATTCACACTATCATGGTCTTGTCAGAGGTGCGCATATATGACAGTTTAGATGTCACTCCAAACAGCAAATATCCCAAAACCCCTCCTTAGGAGTGCAGGCATTGTACTTCCCACCAAAGGTCACATGATGGAATTTGGAGAAGTGAAAACAGGCCAAACGAAAAACATAGTATTGATAGTGTGAATAAAAAATACAGTACTGATGGTGTGAATGAAAAATATAATATGTACTGATGGTGTTATGCAGTGATAATTCAACCAGGAAAAGAAGCCATCTAGGGAAGTGTTTTTCATCCAATTTATCATATATCTATCCATTAAGTTTTATTCCACTTACAGCTCCAGTAAGGGTCCTGAGTTCCAGCTTCTACTGGAGTTAAGCTCTGTGCATTTTTTCTGCTGTTTGCCTAATTTGCCACTAAAGAAGGATCCCTAGTGACTCTGAATAACTTTTGTCAACCACTTTCCCATTTAGGGAAGATGTTTTGATGTAGAACAAATATATAGTGATAATTTCACCAACCATGGAGAATAAAAGGGGAGTGTATGAGAGTACAGTGGTACCAATGCTCTTATATGGGTGTGAAGCTTGGGTTGTGAATGTTGCAGCGAGGAAGAGGTTGGAGGCATTGATGTCATGTCTGAGGGCAACATGTGGTGTAAATATTATGCAAAGATTTTGTAGCCTGAAGATTAGGAGGTTGGGAGTTACTAAAAGTATTATCCAGTTTGGGATATTTGCTGTTTAGAGTGACATCTGAATTGTTGTATGTGTGTGTCTCTGGCAAGACAATGATAGAGTGAATGAGGGTGAAAGTGTTTCATTTTTTGGGCTGCCATACCCTGGTGGAAGATGGACAGAATGTTAAAAAAAAATGGTACATTTTTTTATATAAAAAAAAAGTATACAGGCAAGCCTCGCTTATACAGCAGTGTAGGTTACAGGCTACGCTGTAAAGCGAAAATCGCTGTAAAGTGAAACATAGCCTTTTTTCACTTTCAAAAGCATATAAAAGCATGTTTATACTATCATATATTAAGTGAACAATAGAGCTAGGCCTAAAAAATGCATATACAATACACATATATTATTTACCTTAAAATACTTTTGTTCTTAGCTTATTGAGAGTGGTAAATATATTTACTGTTGGAAATATGAATAAATGAAGAATAGATATAATTGAAAACCACTGCATTAGCGAAATGCCATAAAGCGAGATGCTGTAAAGTGGGGCTCTCCTGTATAACAGAAACAAAGAACCAGTATAATAATGCCACTCACACGGCCTCTTTAGCTGAAGAGGCCGTGTGATATGGAGTAACAATTCTGACTCTCTATCTTTGTTAAACAGTGCTTTTTTATCAACAAATATACAATAATCTGGATATGTACCAACCTTGTTACATCCATTCCTAACGACAATATCCAAGGTGCCCAAGACTGCTGTCCAAAGAGGTACATACTACCTAAGTGGCAAATTGGACGCAGTATATGCATAGCCTGCGGTAAACGTATACATTAATCAAAAACTTTTAATTCATTAATTTGGGTAAACATTATTATTAATTACACACATACATCAAACACACTTTCATATTTTTATAGCTAATGCAAAAAACTAAATACATGTAGCAACACATTTAAAATATAATATCTACAGAAAATGCATAAAATTGACTATTATATTAATAAGTTTTAACAGTATTTAGAATACAAATAAACATAAAATAAATAACTGACATACCAGTATGAATACGGAAAGAGGGTAAGGGAAACAGAGGCGGGGTCACGTAACATCTATGGTGAAATGTGTGGATACAGATGTCACCTGTACCACATGTTTTTTTTCCTCTCTTTTTCATTCATATTACTTAGAGAATAATAACTGACCTCTGCTGTCATATGTTTTGCTGAGGGAAATCTAGATATAACAGGCTCATTTTCATTATTGTTGGGAGGCCGTGGAGGGGTAAATGTCCGTAGATGGATGGGCGAGGATCCAGCCAGTGTTCTCATCACTCGGCCAGAATGTGGCAGCTGCATTGCTTCTGAAAATGAGAAACTGTGAACATGCACATATAAGTTACAAATGCCAAAGACATTTGACATAGTATGCAGAAAGAAAAACTATGGGCATCACATTTTCATTTGATTCTCCCCTCTCATGCACATGCAATAAATTACTCTAGTACCTGTTTTTAGTTAAAAGTATTAGAGCTTTTTTTTTTTTAAATATCAGCCATCTCCCAATAAGACAGTATAACAATGTTCACATACAGATGTTCCTCAACTTACAATACTACAACTTTACGATGGTGCAAAAGCAATTACTTTGGAGGTGAATCTTAAGATAATTGCCCAGCATTAAGGTGGGAAGTCCATAAAATGCATTTATTTACCTTTCAATAATGGTACGTATTTAGTTAGTTACAGCAATCATTTGTTTATTTACTAAGTGACAGCAGTTACTTATTTATTTAGCACTTTTTTTAACATATCAGCCATTTCCTACCTAGGCAGGGTGACCTAAAAAAAAGAAAAAAGAAACACTTTCATCATCATTCACTTAATCACTGTCTTGCCAGAGGCATGCCTACACTACAGTTAAAATGCACTGCAAAATATCCCCACCCCTCCTTCAGAGCACAGGCACTGTACTTCCTACCTCCAGGACTCAAGTCTGACTTGCCAGTTTCCCCAAACCCCTTTGTGTTACCATGCTCACACTCCAATAGCACGTCAAGTCATTAAAACTATTTGTCTCCACTCGCTCCTATCTAACACGCTCACAAATGCTTGCTGGAATTCCAAGCCCACACACAAAACCTCCTTTACCTATCTCCAACCTTTCCTAGGATGACCCCTACTCTGCCTTCCTTCTGCTACTGAATTACTTGCCCTAGAAGTCATTCTACGTATTTTGTTCCATCCTCTCTAAATGTCTGAACCACCTCAACAACTCTGTCTGCCCTCTGGATAATACTTTTAGAAACCCCACACCTTCTCCTAATCTTCAAGTTAAGCCTTCTCTGTATTATATTTACACCACACATTGCCCTCAGACAAGACATTTCCACTGCCTTCAGCCTTCTCCTTGTTGCAACATTCATGACCCATGTTTCATACCATATAAGAGTGTTGGTATCACTATACTCTCATACATTCCTTTCTTCCATGGATAATGTTCTTTGTCTCCACAGACTCCTCAGTGCTCCATTCACCTTTTTCCCCCTTATGAATTCTATGATTTACCTCATTTTTCATAGACCCATCTGCTGACAAGTCCACTCCCAAATATCTGAATACATTCACTTCCTCCATACTTCCTTCCTCCAATCTGATATCCAATCTTACCTTACCAAATTTTTTTGTTATCCTTATCACACTGCTCTTTCCTATGTTCACTTTTACTTTCCTTCTTTTACACACCCTTCTAAACTCGTTTACCAACCCCTGCAACTCTTCAGAATCACCCAAAAGCAAAGTGTCATCAGCAACTATTAACTGTGACAGTTCCAACTTTGTGTTAGATTCTTTATCTTTTAATCCCACACTTCTTTCCAACACCCAAGCATTCACTTTACTTACAACCCAATCTATAAATATATTAAACAATCATGGTGACATCACACATCCCTGACTAAGGCCTCCCTTTACTGGGAAATAATCGTCTTCTCTCCTACATAATCTAACCTGAGCCTCACTAGCCTCGTAAAAACTCTTAACCACTTTCAGTAACCTACCATCAATTCTATATACTATTTGCAACATCTGCCACACTGCTTTTTACATTCCTTCGTTAGTAAACATTCAGTGACGAATGCCAAAATTAATTCATTGCATTGGAAATCTTCCGTATGAAAAAAGATTGAAGGGCCCTTAAGTTACATTCACTTGTAAGACGAAGAGTGAGGGGAGACGTGATCGAGGTGTTGAAGTGGAAGATGGGTATTAATAAAGGGGACATAAATAATGTCTTGAGGATCTCTCTCCAAGAGAGAACCTGCAATAATGGATTCAAATTAGACAAGTTTAGATTTAGAAAGGATATAGGAAAGTATTGGTTTGGAAACAGGGTAGGTGATGAGTGGAACAGTTTGCCTAGTAGGGTTACTGAGGCTAAAACCTTGGGTTGGATAGGTTGGATAAATACATGAGTATGCATGTTGTAAGAGATGACTTAAATGCTGGGAGCAAAGGGCTAGTAACCCCTTCTTCTGTATAAATTACTAAATTTAAAAAGAGAAACTTTCGGTTTTCTTTTTGGGCTACCGTGCCTTGGTGGAATACGGCCGGTTTGTTGAAAGAAAAAAATACATGAGTGAGAGGGGTTGAATTTGAGTGGAACTTGCACATGAGTTGATAGAGATATCAAGGCTTATTGCTTGGGTAGAATTCAAAACTGATTTGGGCAAATATTCTAATAGTGGGATGGACTGTGAGGGGCCTGCCTAGTGTGGGCTGGCAGGCCTGTTGCAGTGTTCCTCCTTTCTTATGTTTTTATGGATCTGAGTGGGACTTGCATGTGAGTAAATAGAATTGTTGAAGCTTATTGCTTGGGTAGCATTTATTCTGTTAGTGGGTTGGATTTGTGAAGGACCTGCCCAGCTTTTAATATTTCTATCTAGATCCCATCAATCCCAGCTGCTTTACCCCATATCATTCTATCCACTACCTTACACACCTCCCCCACATTCACAACTGGCTTTTCCTACCAGATGTTATACCTCCCTGCCCAATTCATGAAATCACAGCTTCTCTATCTTCATTAACATTTAACAGTTTCTCAAAATATTTCCCTCCATCTTCCCAATACTTCCAACTCTCCATCTAATAACTCTCCTCTCCTATTTTTAACTGTCAAATCCATTTGTTCCCTAGAATTTCTTAACTTATTAATTTCACTCCAAAACTTTTTCTTATTCTCAGCAAAATTTGTTGATAGTATCTCACCCACTCTCTCATTTGCTCTCCTTTTACATTCCTTCAGCATATCATATTCACAATCAACTTACGATGAGTTAGTCAGAATGTAACCACATCAAAAGTCAAGAAGCACCTGTATTGTGCCTACTGTAACAACATGTCATATGTATTGAGTTTCTAGAGGTTGCAATGCACTTTCTCCTCCTAGAGGTACTCTTGCCTAGTCTTTCCCTATTACCTGTTAAAAAAAACACTAACATTAATGTAAGAAATATTCATTTCACAATTTCAACACACAGGCTGTTTCCCACCGAAGCAGAGCAACCTGAAAAAGAAGAAACACTTTCATCATCACTCACTCCAGCAATGTCTTGCTAAAGGCATGCTGATATTACAGTTCAAAAACTGAAACATATATCCACCCCTTCTTCAGAGTGCAGAAGAGTAAACTTTCAGAAACTATGTTAGGTAGGTAAGGTTTGTCAGGAAACAGGACAAGTGTTTCCTGATGCAGGTCTTAGTTAGATGATGACCCACTGTTGGAGCTTTTGGTCATCTGACCAAGGCCTCCCACTGGCTTACCAGTCCACTCCTTTAATAAAAACTTATTACAACTATAACCATCATTTAATTGCTGCATAGCTCTGCCCTGTACTATTATGAAGCCACAACTGATTATGGGTTAATTGTGCACTGATCCGCAGTACTGTGGTTTTTATTCTTTATATTTGGAAGGTGTATAAATCTGTAGTGGTGGAAAGGCAGCATAAGAGTCGTCCTAGGAAAGGATAGAGGGAGGGGGTAAAGGAGCTTTGTTTGCAAGAGGCTTGGACATCTAGTAGGCATGTGTGAGCAGGTTAGACAGGAGTGAATGGAGGCAAATGGTTCTTGGGACCTGATGAGCTGCTAAAGTGTGAGCAGGGTAACATTTTGTGAAAGGATTCAGGGGAAACCGGTTAGCCAAACTCGAGTCCTGCAGGTGGGAAGTACAGTGCCTGCACTATAAAGGAGGGGCAGGGATATTTGCTCTTTGGAGTGACATCTGAACTGTCACATCTGTGTGCCTCCGGCAAGGCAGTGATATTGTGAATGGTAGTGAATGTTTTATTTTTTCAGGTCACGCTGCCTCATTGGAAGACGGCCAGTGTGTTAAAAAGACAAAAATGGAATTTTGTTCACATATGAAACTACCAAATGTTCCCTTCGAGTTGTACAATTCTAAATCAAGATTTTCAAAAGACCATGTACAATAAAATATCCCTCTATGAGCACATAAAGATATACATACTTGAGAAAAAATAATGTGGTATCTAATATTCACATCTACAGTAGACTGTCATTTAGCACAGTACATAGTTACGTTCTGAAAACGCCGTGTTAGGTAAAAAATCGTGTCAGATGAACTGAAGAACTTATGGAAAAAATAGGGTTACATTCCTGGGAGCCCCAAAAAGCCAAACAACTTTTTTTAGGCCTCCACATCTTACAAAAATAAAAGTGAATATGTAATTGTAGTTCATTGTTGTGATGTATTATGTTGTTTTTACTGCTTAAGACTACAAATGTAACAGAAATAATAGTTGATAAATTAGACACATGTGCAACTCTTGGGTATCTTCATTGAGGAAACGTTTCGCCACACAGTGGCTTCATCAGTCCAAACGTAGGAGAAACTTGAAGAACAGGAGGAGAATGAGGTAATCAGTCCCTCAACCTTGAGTCGATGTGTTCAGTCCATCAATCTGAACACATCGACTCAAGGTTGAGGGACTGATTACCTCATTCTCCTCCTGTTTTTCAAGTTTCTCCTACGTTTGGACTGATGAAGCCACTGTGTGGCGAAACGTTTCCTCAATGAAGATACCCAAGAGTTGCACATGTGTCTAATTTATCAACATGTCGGTTCTCTGAACCAGTCATCTAGAAATAATAGTATTTCTTACCTTAAATTGTGGGTGCTGGTGTTTGTGGATGATTGTGAAGAGAGTGTAGAGTTATGTTGTGGCCCTACTGGGCTGAGGTGGATGGTAGAGGTTCTGGTGCTGAAGTTGATGGTTGTACTGGAGTGTCAAAGTCATTCAGTAAGTCAGGCAAATCACTCAGTAAGTCAGTCAAGTCATTCAATAAGTCAGTCAAGTCATTCAATAAGTCAGTCAAGTCATTTAGTAAGTCAGTCAAGTCATTCAATAATTTAGTCAGTCAAGTCATTCAATAATTTAGTTAAGTCATTTAGTAAGTCAAGTCATTCAATAAGTCAGCCAAGTCATTTAGTAAGTCAGTCAAGTCATTCAATAAGTCAGTTAAGTCATTTAGTAAGTCAGTCAAGTCATTCAGTCAGTAAGTCAGTTAGTAAGTCAGTAAGTTCAGTTCAGTCATTCAGTCAGCCAGTCAATCAGTAAATCAGTCATTCATTATGTCAGTCAGTCATTCATTCAGTCAGTCACACAAACTCATGTTTACCTCTTCTTCTGTGTACAAAGTAACACTTCATTACAGCTACAGGTTATCTCTAGTCTAATATCTTTGTTTCTTTGTTAATTCTAAGACTTAAATGCTTATACCTTTTCTTGCCACTTTCAGCAACACTGGTATGGCTACTGGGTCTCATGACTGCTTGGCAGATAAAAGATATAGTAATTAAAATATCATAACACAATTCACAAACACAGCTAGCTTGCAGCAGAGAAAGACTGGACACCATGAAATATGAAGGCTGGGATGGTGGTGTCGGTTAGTGGCAGAGGATGGCGGGAGGGCTCCCCGGCTGCTCCACAACAAGGAGGCAGCTTGAGCAAAAGAGAATTTTTTTTCCTTCCCACAACTGAACAGTGTTAAATTCATTTTACGATGTGTTACATAAAATTGTGCCGCAATTCTTCAATCATGCACTACCTGAATCGTGCCAAATAAACTCGTGCTAAATGACGGTCTACTGTATAATGTTTCACAGCTACTGTGGTAAATTTATATTTTACCTGGACCTGCTGAACCATGTGTTGCAAACATGAGTCTTTCCTGCTTGGTGTTAATGGCAGCTCTCCTATCCAATGGTTTAATAGGAGGAGATGGCACTATGGGTGTCTTGTACCTCAGCAGTAACAAAAACCGCCCAATGCACCTGAAAAGAAGTAATAGAATACATAAAGAAATCACTATAATGTCCTTTATAAACTGAATATACAAAATAACCACAGTGAAAAAATGGTGAATTCCAAGCACTTTTGTGATTCTCACATTATTAAAAAATGATAATGTGAAAAATCACAAAAGTGCTTGGAATTTCACTATTTTTTCACTCTGGTTACTTTGCATATTGTAATATCACCTGTTTACTGTAATCTTATTGCAGACTGAAAATAAAATACAAAATATATAATAAAAAACCACACACACAATCTGTAGATATACTGCAATAAACACTGAAGACAGGAGTTAAAAATACAATTTATCCAGTAGATTTTGTTATTTCCTAAATATGTTAAAATGAGGCTTTACTAAATATCCATATCTCTCCAATATCGACCCTAAAAAATTTAATTTTATGTAAAAAATTATATTCAAATCCAATATCAGCTCTTGAAAAGTTTAACAAAATTTATAAGTTTAAGCCATGTCCATAACAGCAAATTATTTAATTGCTATACACAAGTATATTTATTGTGCTTACTTGGAAAGCTGTATAATGCTAACTACTGCCCAGCGACCCACTTCTCCCCACAGCTGAACAGCGGCCACCTCAACCAGAACTTCCACATATTCCATCACTGTTAGCAATACCTGAAGAAAACAGTGATGATGATGACAATAAAAATAAAAACAATAATTATTATTTTTATAATTATTTGAGATTCTGGTATCCTTGAGTGCTTGTTCTTGCAAGAAAATTTAAAAGCACTCACACACACTGTAACTGAGAAAACTCAGATAAATTCATAAAATTGACGTACTCTTTTGTTATAATAAATATATTTTGTGTACGTCTCAGGAATATTTAAAAATTCTATTAGAACAATTAGAGAGAAAAAAAAAAAGGCTTTGAAGTAATGAAGGCAATGAATGTTCTTACTTACCAGAGTCACTTTACTAATAAATTAAGAAAAAATTCACATATGATTGCAGGTAGCAACAAACAAGTAAGCAACAATGCATGTCCAAAAAATACAAAGCAATTCTAATCAGAAAGAATAAAAGGGCACAACACTGTGGCTGGAACAATTCACCTAAAACCCGCACTTACAAGAGGAACCTCATAACAGTGTTTTGGTCTGTTCTGAACCACTGTCCAATCAAAGCTTGACAATGACCTGAGAGTGGTGCTGGACAGACTGAAACGTGGTCACAAAGTTCCTCTAACTGCAGGTTTTTGTTGAGTTTTGACTAGAAGTGTCCTGACACAAGACAGTGTATTCCCCTATGTAGAAATAAACTGTCTATGGATTATAAACCAGGATATGACCACAACATCCAGTTAACACCTAGGTTCTTATTTACTCCTCTAAGATATACTTTCCCTTACACTCATTTTTTCTCCATATTTTTTTATTTAAAAAATTTATGATGAAACTCTATGCAAAGCTCTAATTTTTTCTTACACTCCCTATTTTTCTGCTACATCTCTGCATTTTCCTGATAATTTTTTTTGTAAGCAAATTAGAAAGTTTTTTCTGCCTGTCACTGGTTTCATTATTTCATTTATTCCCATTAATAGCTGCCTTTCGCAATTCTCTTTACTTTATCACCATGCTTCAACTGCCACACTGAAATGCTAATGATGATTTTATTCAAGTTTTTTTCCAGACTGCTTCCCTAAGAACAACAGGGTACTATAAGACTACACAGTGAGGCTTTTATAATGCTGTAGATAAATGTGTTCAGAGAACCTGTAAGTTGATGAGTGAGATACTTATGCAACGCTTGGGTATCTTTGTAGAAATATTTTGCCAACAAGTGGCTTCCTCAGTCTGGTATAGAGATAAATGGTGGAAGATGAGGAGGAGTTTAAGGTAATCAGTCCCTCAGCCTTAAGTCAATGTGTTCAGTCCATCAATCTTGATCAAGATTGATGGACTGAACACATCAACTCAAGGCCGAGTGACTGATTACCTCAAACTCCTCATTTTCCACCATTCATCTCTATACTGGACTGAGGAAGCCACTTGTTGGCAAAATGTTTAACAATAAAGATACCCAAGTGTTGCACATGTCTCAATCATTTGATAATGTTGTTTTTGTTTCACAGTATTTAATTTACAAAGAACTACAACCTTTTGGTTATTCAGCACTTAAAAATATTACCAATACTATCACATTTACACTATTAATACCAGATTGCTACTGTCATGACTAATTCACTCACATACTACATAAATCCTAATCACAATGCAAAATCCAATTTTATTAATCTTTAATCCAGACCCATAAAGCATTCCATGTCATTAGCCAGGAGTGTGCGCAAATATAAATGAATGGGGGAAAATCCCTAATATTTAAGCCAAGGGATAAAGGTAAAGGATGCTGGATTCTTTGTCAGGCTACGCCATTGAAATCCTGCCACCATGGTAAGGTTACCCAGTCAACTATATATCTATGGGGTATGATAACATATTGGGCTAAATAAGCTTTGTAAAATTAACAAAATAGCAAGAGGCTTTAACAGCATGAAGAATCATGTATTATCATTAGAATTATTACAAACAACTATAACAGTCTTCTATTTTGAAAACACAATGTAATACAAAACTTTCACCATAGTTAATATACTGGAAATGACAAAAGGTGACACGTCATCCCCTACCTGCAACCTGTTACCTTCCTTTGTAGTGAGTTGTGGTATTGTTTGTTTTATTATGAAATCATTAAACATTTCAAACAGTCTTGATCCAGAATACACAATCTCACAGAGTAAGGTAGAATGCTTCAAACGTCCTGCAAAATATAAATTATTAAACACTGCAAAAAACAATTTTCTGAATTTTACTGTACTTACCGTATTTTCTGGCATATACAGTGCATGAGAATATGAGTCACATAAGACAGTGTTTCAAGGCAGTTGTAACGTAATGTTAATAAAAAACTGCTAAAGCCCAACCCAAAGCCTACCCTTGACACTGGCCTTGAGCACATAAGGCACAGGGTGATTTTCCAAGACTATTTGTGGGAAAAAAAGCATGCCTTACATACCAGAAAATATGGTATGTACATTATTATTATTATTATTACATACAATTTTATATAATTCATTTAGCAAGCTATTTCACATTTTTGGTTGTTTATCTGCACTGTTTCTACAGAGGTTCAGACAAACATGGAGAATATCAGAGGTACTGGTTGAGAGTGTGATGCCTGTGTGAGTTCTCTTACAGTTTCCAGGAAGTGTCTTAGGACAGCATCAGCATTACACTGAAGATACGGAGAGAACTAGTATTATTTATGGCATTTTTATTTATTAGGTTTAGGGATTTGAACAAAGGCATAGTGGGCTGCCAAAAATATGCATTTGTGATAGTTCTGAGTTTACCTGTGTTAACCATGGGGACATCCCATGGGAGGACCTGGGTATACCTGGGACAGCTAAAGCTTCCCCCCTTCCCCTCCAATGCAGGTAGTATTTTTTCAATCAATGGCTAAATTCTGCTACATTATGCTGACCAGTGAAAACAAAAGCATTGTAGATAAAGTCTGCATACATACTGAAAATCATTTTTTTTTTTTTTAATTTTTTTGATTTTTTAATTATCTTATGATTTTCATGCCCACCACCATACTGAAATCCTGGCTTAAGCCCCCAGACTGGATCCTGGCTGCTCCACTGGTTGTGTGATACTTAACCCTTTGACTGTTTACACCGTATAAATACGTCTTACACACCACTGTTTCTGACGTATTTATACGCATAAATTCTAGCGGCTTCAAATCAAGTGGGAAAGGCTTGGTAGGCCTACATGAGAGAGAATGGGTTTCAGTGGTCGGTATACACCCTGTGAAAAAAATCTGGGACTCAGCGGTGCATTGTGGGAACGCCATCTTGGTAGTCCATTTTCACCATGCCTCTCGGTAAGAAGTTCCTCACTCCTCGGCGGATGGAGGTCTTTTGTTCCCAAGTGATAGCTCTAACAGCGATGAAAATGTCAGTGACAGTGAATTCCAGGGTTTTGAAGTGTGTGTGACCGAAAAAAGTGCCCAGGATAACGTAATTAGTGATGAAAACCCAGATGACCCACAACCTTCCACCTCTGGTGCTGGGCCAGCTTGTTCACGTTCACCTTCACCTGTACCAGGACGAAAGAGGAAACTATTTGGTCGTGTACAACACCCAGATGTTAGCAGTGAATGTGATAGTGATAGTGATTTCAAGGTCACTGAAAGCAGTTCTAGTTGTGACAGTGAGGGTGAATATTCCCCAGTGAAGTGGCAGTATGTACGACATAGCATGCGGTCTGGTAGTGTTACATATGCTGTTCCAAGGGGAAGGAGAAACTGGGAGCATATCACGTGGCCCTACACCACGACCTGATAGTGAAGATGACGATATTGTTACGATGGGTATGAATGATGTGAGTGAGGGAGCAGGCAGTGGTGGTGATAGTGATGGTGGCACGACCCATGTGGCACCAGCAGCGGGCCACGCTACTACCCACGCTGCTAACTCTGCACAACAACCAGCCTCACCCGACCCCACACAACCACAACCTGCACAACCACAACCTGCACAACCACAACCACGTTACAATATCCAGAACCCACCAACAGACTGCATCTGGGATTGGCAGGAAGGTGACTGAGTTTGTTTCCAGTCCCCATGACTTTGATGAAACACAAAGTGGAATAAAGCCATCATGTCCACTTGGGAACAATGCTAGTGAACTGGAATGCTTTGAGTTATTCTTCGATGAACCCCTGATGGACATCATTGTCAGGGAAACCAACACATACTATGAATACACCATGGCAAATACAATTCTCTCACCAAGATCACGGCTACACCAGTGGAAGGAGACAAATGTGGCAGAGATGTACCTGTTATTTGCCACAATAATGCTTATGCCATATGTGTATAAGCACACTGTCACCACATACTGGGCAACAGAACGCATGATTTCAACTCCAGGTTTTAGTGACATTATAGGTGTCAATCGTTTCCTGATACTGTTACGTATGTTACACTTTTCAGACAAAACCAGGCCTGACAGAACCGACAGGTTATATAAGATCAGAAATGTGTTTATGTACATGAAACAAAAGTGCTGCATGTATTTTTATCCCTTCAGGAAGCTTGTTATTGACGAGTCCTTGATTTTATTCAAAGGAAGACTCTCATTCAAGTAATATATACCAAGCAAGAGGAAACGCTTTGGTATAAAGTTATTTGTACTGTGTGATTGCAGAAGTGGTCTAGTTTTGGATATCATTGTGTACACTGGCAGAAAATACTTTGAGAGATACCATGAAGTTATTGGGTATCTCTGGTGATGTGGTTAGAACAATGATGGAACCATATCTTGGTAAGGGGCATATGTTATTTACTGATAACTGGTACACAAGCCCCTTACTCAGTGATTTCTTGCGAGTGAACTTGACAGACATGTGTGGCACAGTGCGTGGTAATCGTAAACATATGCCAAGGTTCAACGCTGGCACTCGCAGAGGTGAGGTGCAAGCCTTTGCTGCCAATGACATCATGGCATTTCGGTGGCATGACAAACGTGATGTCACATTGTTGACATCAGTTCACTGAAACGAAATGGCACACAGTGGCAGGCACAACAGAGACCAATGAACCCATTCTAAAGCCTGCAGCTGTCATGGACTACAACCTCAATATGCACTTAGTGGACAAATGTGACATGCAGATTGGGTTTGCTGATTGTGTACACAAGAGTTGTAAGTGGTATATAAAACTTTTTCTCCATCTTGTTGATATCTCCATGCTAAATGCTTATAACATATACAAGTTGAAGACCAACAAAACACCAAAATATGGTGAATTTTGTTTGTCAGTAATCAGACAAATAAATGCAAAGTACCAAGGAGCAACACCTGCAATAGACCAGCGCCCACGAAATTACCAACACACGCCATCTCGTTTCAGGCCTGGTGATCACTACCCCATACAACTGCCTCCTACTACTGCCAAGGAAAATGCTCAGAAGAGGTGTTATGCAAGTACACATACCACAAAACGCCCACAGCGTTTTAGATAGGAGTGAATGGAGACGAATGGTACTTGGGACCTGACAATCTGTTGGAGTGTGAGCAGGGTAATATTTAGTGAAGGGATTCAGGGAAACCGGTTGTTTTCATATAGTCGGACTTGAGTCCTGGAAATGGGAAGTACAATGCCTGCACTTTAAAGGAGGGGTTTGGGATATTGGCAGTTTGGAGGGATATGTTGTGTATCTTTATACGTATATGCTTCTAAACTGTTGTGTTCTGAGCACCTCTGCAAAAACAGTGATTATGTGTGAGTGTGGTGAAAGTGTTGAATGATGATGAAAGTATTTTCTTTTGGGGGATTTTCTTTCTTTTTTAGGTCACCCTGCCTCGGTGGGAGACGGCCGACTTGTTGAAAAAAAAAAAATCCATGTGTAGATCTTTTTTTTTTTAGTTTATCACTAACAATAAGGAAATCACATGGGTGGTCACACAGCATGAGGTAAGAGGAAGACAATTGGGTTTGAGTCAAGAAAGCAAAGAATAACTTCAATTTTTGTATCATTATTATTATTATGGGGAAGCACTAAACCTGTAGGATTATACAGTGCCTGTGGGGGAGGGGGGGAGCTGGGGGAGGAAGGTATTTAGGCTTAATTCAGGGAACTGGAGCACAGATCCAATTCCCTAGATCAAGAGCCCTCACCAGCACCAAGGAACCTCCCTTGAGGGGCCAATCTTTGGATCAAAAGCCTTGATGTATCTAAATGTATCAAGGAACCTCCATGTGAAGACACTCTAGAAGGGTGAGGGTCAAAAGTGAGAGCCTATATGGCAGCAGCAGTGCTGCTGCTTGTTGTTGTTGCTGCTTGCTGGCTGTTGCCACTACAACTATGGCCAGCTGGCTGGCTGATTGCCTGGTTCAAATTCAAATTCAAATTCAAAGTTTATTCTCTATAAAGATTACAATGTTGAATTTACAGAATTTGGTTGTTGTGTGGTTTACATGTAGCTAAATAATGATTACAGAGTGTACCACTAGAACGCCTAGCATGGCTAGGCATTTCGGCCAGACTTAGTTTAATTCTTTATTTTAAAATATTACAAATTATGAGGTAAGTTGGTATTATGGCTAAGTGACTAAATACTAGTTTGTGAGTTTAGCAATGTGAATGCTTTTGTTTTGGCACAGTACATAGTTTCAGTATTGGAGTATCATAGGATTCATTATTTTAAGATTGAGATTAATATTTCTGTTTATGGTCAAATGGGTGAGCGAGTGTAAGTGTGAACCACCAGGTGGTATTCGTGTAGTAAGTTGATGGGGTTTATCAGGGAGATAAGATGTTTTCTAATGGTAGTTTTGAAGGTGATGAATGTGTCTGCAGTTCTAGAGTTCTCAGGTAGGGTGTTCCAGATTTTAGGGCCTTTGACATACATTGAATTTTTGTAAAGGTTTAGTCGGACATGGGGAATGTCGTAGAGATGTTTGTGTCTGGTGTTATGCCTGTGGGTTCTGTCACAACTATCAAGAAAGCATTTTAGGTCAAGGTTGATATTGGAGTTTAAGGTCCTGAAGATGTAGATTGCACAGTAGTAAGTGTGGATGTACTGAACAGGGAGTAAGTTTAGATCTATGAAGAGTGGGGGGGTGTGTTGCCAGGGATGGGATTTAGTGATTATTCTTACTGCAGCTTTTTGTTGGATTATTATTGGCTTTAGGTGTGTTGCTGCAGTTGATCCCCAAGCACAAATAGCATAGGTGAGGTATGGATAAATAAGTGAGTGAGTTATAGTGTGAGAAGGGCATTTTGCGGCACGTAACATCGTATCTTGGAGAGGATCCCAACTGTTTTGGATACTTTTTTGGTTATGTGTTGGATATGGGTGCTGAAATTCAGGTTGTTGTCAAGGTACAGGCTAGGAATTTGCCCTCATTATGTCTGGTAATTAGAGTGTTGTCGATCTTAATGTTAATTGTGCATCTCCTGCTCTGCTACCAAACATAATATAGTAGGTTTGTCAGTGTTAAGCGTAAGTTTATGGCTGTCATCCATGTCGATATTTTGATCAGCTCCTCGTTAACAATGGTGTTGAGGGTGGCAAGATTAGGGTGAGAGATGACATAAGTCGTGTCGTCAGCAAAGAGAATGGGTTTCAGGTGTTGGGATTACGTTTGGAAGATCATTGATGTATATGAGAAGAGCAGGGGACCAAGGACACTTCCCTGCGGAACTCCAGTATCAAGTGGCCATGTTGTTGATGCTGTGTCTTTAATGGTAACATACTGATACCTATTAGTAAGTAAGATTTGAAATAAGCAAGCGCATGGCCTCTTATACCGTAATGGTCAAGTTTGTGGAGTAGGATGTCGTGGTCTACTGTGTCAAAAGCTTTTCTTAGGTCAATAAAAATTCCTAGTGGATATTCCTTATTTTCCAATGCTGTGTAAAGCAG